CCTCTACTCAGCCCTGGTGAGGCCACATCTGGAGTACTGCATCCAGTTCTGGGCTCCCCAGTACAAGAGGGATGTGGAGCTGCTGGAGAGAGTCCAGCGCAGGGCTACCAGGATGATCAGGGGCCTGGAACATCTGCCCTATGAGCAAAGGCTGAGAGAGCTGGGTCTGTTCAGCCTGGAGAAGAGGAGGCTGAGGGGGGACCTGATCAGCGTGTATAAATACCTCAAGGGAGGCAGTGAGGAGGAGGGGGGCGGCCTCTTTTCAGTGGTGGGCAGGGATAGGACTAGAGGAAATGGCTTCAAACTGAAGCATCAGAAGTTCCACAGGAACTTAAGGAAGCATTTCTTCACTGTGCGGGTGACAAAGCACTGGAACAGGCTGCCCAGAGAGGTTGTGGAGTCTCCTTCTTTGGAGATCTTTAAAACCCGCTTGGATGCAGCCCTGTGCCACGTGCTCTAGGTGACCCTGCATGAGCAGGGGGGTTGGACTCGATGACCTCTGAGGTCCCTTCCAACCTTGGGCATTCTATGATTCTATGATTCTATGAAATCCACCATTACCAGGGTTTAAGGTTTACCTGCTGTTTCAGTTACACTCAAAGCAAGAAACATAACATGTGCAATGTACTTTTTAGCCTTTTATTAAAAAAAAACAAACTCAGGAAAAAGCCACAGGTTGAGGTGAAGTTGCGTGTGGCTTCCCCGCTTCGCCCTCCTCCTCCGCGGGCCGCTCGGACGTAGCCTGGCTCACACAGTGCCCCGGAGCCCCCTGAGGAGTGCGGCAGCTGCCGGGATCAGGGACTCCCGCGGGGACCGGGCGCAGGTGGTGGCGTGGGCGGCGCGCGGCCGCAACAGCTCCCGTGGTGAGGGGCTCTGCGCGCTCCCACGTTCAAGTTTCAGCATGTGACACCGGTTCAGGAGGCACCAGGGCTTGGCTGCTTCGCGGGAGCATTTCTCGCACTAAAATAGCACGTTTCTCTCATGCCAGCTGCGGCTGCCCCAGCAGTGTTCGATTTCGCCTGCAAAACACCCTGGATGAGCCAGTGGCTGTGTAAAACCAAGCGGAGCAGCCTGCAAAGGCCGCTCCGTGGCTGAAGAGCAAACGCGTGGCAGGAGACGTCGCCCAGCGCTGTCCCACGCCGGGCGCCACAGTCGTGCCAGCTCCTCCACGAACTCAGTGTGCGCTCACTTGGGCCGGCAGCGCGTTCCCTCCATCCCGGTGCTGTGAGAGGGAGGAAACAAGAAGAAAACAAGAAAAAATCAGAATGGGAAAGAGCAGAGATGAGCCCCGAGTGGCCAGCGCGGCCCTCACCCGCCGGCGCCGCGTGCGGAGGCAGAAGGTGCAGAGCGGCGGCGGGCAGGGCGGGCGCTGCGGGCCGGGCTGCGCGCACGGCCGCCGCAGCAGCACGTTGGCCAGATGGGCGATGTAGCTGGCGGCCAGGCGCAGCGTCTCCACCTTGGAGAGCCTGCGGCCGGCCGGCTCAGTGGGGATGAGCGCGCGCAGGGCGCCGAAGGCCGCGTTCACGCTGTGCGTGCGGTGCCGCTCGCGCGCATTGGCTGCCGCGCGCTGCCCGCCGTGCCGCTCCCGGCGCCGCGCGCCGCCCGACGCCCCCCTGCTGCCCTGCATGGCACCTCCCGCCTCCCCAACGCCGCCCCATGAGTTTTTATGCTGGCAGCCTCTCCCCCGCAGCGGCGGGCAGGGCGCGGGGGCGGCGCGTGCAGCACCTGTCGCCATCGCCGTTCAGTGGCCGCGGGGCTGCGGGCGCCATCGTGCTGCCCGGCGCCGGGCTGCTGTCCCGCACCTCCCTCCCAGCGCCCTGCCTCCAAAGTCACAACAAGCACCCGTTTATTCTCTGCGCTCTTCATTAAAAATCAACCCTTGGATGGTCTGCATGTCGAAGCTCCTGCGAGGTGGCAGTGCGGGCTGTCCTGAGGGGAGCATGGCCGCGCAACCACGTGGCCTCAATGCACTGTTATACGTGGTCCCCACCACGCGCCATGTCGCGTCGTTGCTGTTGCCTAAAATATATCAGGGATTCAGAATCCCTGAATCAGGGCTGGATTCGCGTCGCCATCACTCCCGAGTCGTGGTCTCGCTGCTGCCACAGCCCTCCCGGTGCTTGTGTCCCCGCCAGCCGCAGCTCGGGGCGCTGGGGAGGCCACGGCCATGTCGCGCGGATTGGCCAGACACCGGCAGAGCTTGCTGCGGGATGGAAACACCAGCCTGTTCGGCACCTAACCTTTGGAAAAGTAAGTGCTCTAGAAAACTCTAAAGTTCACATTTAATACTCCAAGGGCTTATTTTCCTTAAAAAATGAATTTCCATTCTGAGCTTGTGCTGTGTGTTTCCTCATTCCAGCACATTCAGTATTTCCAGAATGAAATCCTAGCCCCATCCAAGGCAATGGCCGAAGTGCCGCTGACTTCAATGGCAGGAGGATTCGCCCTCGGAATGTTCTGGAGCTGCGCAGCAGGGGCCCTGATTCCCTGTCAGGCCCCGTGTTTGCCTACCCGTGTCTGCCTGGCCTTACCGATCGCCTCCCTTTTCATTACTGAAAGCTTAAAAACAAAAACTCACAACACTGATTTCCCCGCAGCTTCACAGCCCCTATGTATACAACTGGGATATTAGCAAAATCAGAATTTATGACTTATTGATAAACTGGCAAAATGAGAAAGGAATAAGCAATACTCAGGGAGAAAATGATGCTGTGTCCATGGAGAAAAACAGAATGATTTCCACTGACATTGCAGCAAGAGCTAGCACAGGGGTTAAGGTTGCGGGCGGCCAAATGGGTCTTGTTCTCTTTGCAAAACAGTTTGAAAAAGTAGGGCAAATTTTTTTTTTTTCCCAGATAAAAAGCCTTGTAAACAGGCCAAAATGCTGGTGAGTTTAATTACTAGATTATTGATTGGGATAACATTTATGCAAGTGCTAGGGGGAGCATATTCCTCAAGATAGCTGCAGCCAGGCAGGATTTTTTATTTTGTTTTATTTTTTCCCTTTCCTCTTTTGCAATTTGCTGAATTGCTAATAACAAGCAAGAACGGAGCTGCGTGAATGCAGTGCCGAATAGTGGGAAATATTTCACTTGTACTGATAAGGTTTTGACTGAAATCTCCCTTTTTCCACAGAGAGAGAGAGAGAGAGAGAGAGAGAGAGAGAGAGAGAGAGATGTCTCAGGTCATTGTAAGAAATGTTCAACAATATTCCAAAGACTGGGAATACAAAGTACTTCCTTGATACAGTTGCACAGTAGTGACTAGTATTTCTTTGGTGTGGACAGTGATAATATGAAGTGAATAAGAAATATTTGGAAAAAGTTAATTTGGAAGGACTGTGCCTATGGAGAGACCCTTTCTCCCATGCCAAAAGGCATTGGGCTTGCAAGGAATATCTGCGATATTCCTGTTTGTGTGTGAATAGTCAAGATAACTCTTACTCATTATGGCTAAATGAGGTATTTCAGTCACACTTGGCAGGTTCTAGAGAGAATCCAAAGGAAACTAAGAAAGAGAAACAAACCCACTGGTGGCTGGAAGTGTGCAGYGAAGAATACATCTTTCCACCAAATGTTACTCATCAGGTGGCTGCCTGTGTGTGACTTTAAGTGCCTGTGACAACTGCTTCTGTCCTTCACAACAAATCTGGGTGACTGAGTCGTCGTTTTGATTGCAGTTCTTAATAAATGTGACTGCCATTAAATACATGTGGAACAAAGAATCTTTTAAATGACATTTAGAGAAGTCCTGTAAGAGAATGACTTTATGGAGCAAAGATTGAGTAGTAGTTGAGTTCGGAATGGCGCAAAAGGAAGTTTTGGGAGAAGGAGGACTTGCACGGGCCATGTTAAATTATGAGAGGTTAACCATGGYGTGGATTTAAGGCTTTGTGTGTTTAAGCCATGTCAGATGGGATGGTAAGCCTTGGAAGGGCAGATTTTAATAATTACCCTCTCTTCACCTTGAACCATGAGAGGGCACAGGCTTCTACCTTGGTGTGATTTCCCAGGAGGGGAATGGACCTTCTTGATCCTCTTCAGCCTGGCACTTCTCTGTTCACTTGGAATCTCTGCCCCTTGTCTGAACTGATCTACGTGGTGCTTCTCTTATTTGTTAACGAGTTTTCTGCGTGGTGGCATGCGAGAGGCCTTGCTAAACTCGAGATGTTCTGCCTACTGAGTTTTATTTATACACCCACTCTGTTACACTCGACCAAAAGCTGCCAAGTTATTTATCTTGTGTTTTTGTCAAAAATTTGTCTTACAGTAATTTTCCTTCCTCTGGCTGCCCACGGAGGCAAATCCAAATATATTATTCACCTGTTATTTCAAAGCCATTTAAACTTGCCAAATCTAAGTAGTGTTTTACAAGATTTTGCTGATACTCTCAAAGTTGTTATTAACTGCCTCAGAAGTAATTTTTGATCGTGGTTGTATTCAGCGGGCTGATGACAAGGCACTTCTCTTCTCTGTCACATTGAAATCGTGTAAGGACCGCATAGCTGCTCTCAGAAACAAAATCTTTTGTGAGCAGGAGTTATGCAGAGATTTTTGTTTGTGAAGACTGAATGCAGCTGGAGCTGTCCCCCCTGCCTCCTTGTTACATTACTAATTAAACTCACAGTAACCTACCTTGATTGGGGTGGTGGTTTGATGGTGTGGATGATGCTGTTCAGCTGTGGTTGATGCCGTTCAGCTGTGGTTGATGCCCTTCAGCTGTGGTTGATGCCCTTCAGCTGTGGTTTGGAGGCTGAGCCTTTCTGTCAGTACAGCTGCAAACCCACAAGTCGTTTAGGGTCTGGAAGCTGGGATGGGAACTGTGGTTACTCCTGTCTTTATATCTCTACTTGGCCAGGCCAGAGGGGCTGCTGCCCCACAGCCTTGGAAGTGCTAGTCCAGACCTTTGTGGTCTTTAGCATGGGCTGAAAAATGTGCATTTTGGGGTTTGTGAAGAAGGGGAACATGCAGTATCATCCAGAAAAGAGGAGGGCCCTCTTCAAAGTTTCTGGAGATGAAGCACAAGCAACTTGTGCTCTTTCTGACTGCTGCCAGGTATTGTCAGAGTAAACTATGTGTGTGTAGTTACAGTGTGTATAATTTCTTGTTATCTTCTCCCTGTATTTTGCCTTTGCAGAGGCTAATGGTTTGCTAGGTCTGTATTGGTTTTCCAGATTTTACAATCCAAGTTTAGCAGTTTGAATCTCTGATGGCAAATCCAGTTCTTCTAGCTTAACTCTCCATAGACGGGAAAATTGTAGCCATGAGCCTAGAACATGTACTATTAAAATGTCCCAGAATTGTCCTGCAACTTTTTTCTTTTCTTTTTTTTTCCTTAATATAGGTGGAATGCTTTTATAGAAATGTAACTTGGATTTTAGTTATTTAAAATACTTGACTACTGTAATAATAAACATCAATATGAGGTGCAGAGTTGCCCATTTGCATGAAATAACTACGGCAAACTCTTCAGATGGGTTATTGCCATGTGATTTGTTCCATCTTCCCTTCCCCTTGACTGCTAGATCTTGCAGAGAAAACTATTCTTCTTTTCCTACTTGCTTTTTGTAAGCACACTTAAAATATCATTTTATGAACAGCATCATATTGCACAAGATTTGGTAGATACTTTAAGAAATATATTTTCAGAGGTTTCTTTCAAGTGCTTAGAGATGACAAATACAAAGGTATCTAAGAAAGAAACATGAAAGAAATATAATTGAGTGTATAATTACTGGAGCTTCTGTAATATAACCTTAACTGAAGTTGTTTGTATGGTTTCTCTCCCTCCTCATAGCTTCTTGAGGGTCCTCCTATGAACATACTCAAAAGCTGGCACTCTTTAGATACTTCACTTACTCCTCCTTAGTGCTTCAGTTGAGCGTTTATGCTTCTGTTACCTAAGAAGCCTGTGATCATGATTCCGTAGTTTAAATTAAAGGACAAATTCAATTTTCATCACAGGTTCAAGCCAGAACTGGATTCACCATTGCTAGCAGAGTTGCTCTATAGCTACAGCAGTGTAACCGATGTCACATCTGGGTGATAATCAACTGCTGAACCACTGGTGAAATGTTAAGGTGGTTTTCTAATTGCTTTTTGGTGCCAAAGCAGAAAGTGTCAATTGTTCCTCATTGGTTAATAATCCCCTTGATTCCACAAGGGGAATTGATGRTCCCAACTGATGTGACCATGAAGCCAGTTTTAAGCTGCTGTTGGAAATACTATGATCTACATGGATATATGAGAGATATCAGGGTAAAATGCCTTTATGTTCTCCTCTTTTGTGTCAGAAGTTGAGGTGGAATGTGTGTGTGTGTCTATGTACACTACAGAACTATAAAGCTATTTAATTCTCAGACCTATGTCACAAATAAGTCCAACTTTTCTGTGCTATAGGCTGAATGAAAGTTTGGTAATGTTTCAGTGCGCCTTGCAGCAAAAGGGGTGTTGTGGAGCCTAGTGATGGCAGCGATGTCTCTTGGTGTGGCCAGACAGCTGTGGGAGGCACAAGTGCCTGGGCATGGTTACTGCCTGATCCCTGCCTTCCTCTGCTCCGGGGTTAGGAATGGCCGGGCTTCTGCTGGGACTGTTCTGCASAGAGGCTCCCATTTTCAGGCATGCTTGGGATAATGCAAAGGGCACCYGTATGTAACACTTGCATAAAATTCAGAGCTGGGCTTAAATCCAGCCCAGTGTTGATATGTCAACAGCTGTTGATATGTCTGTTCGGTGGCGCTCTGGAGCTGGAATCATACTGTGTATTGAATAACAGGTGAGCCGATGCAAGCAGTCGGTAGCCTGAAGGCTTAAAAGGGTGTGTTATAACACCAAGCAAACATGGGGTGATGCCAATAGCATGTGTTTGTCTGTCAGTGTAGACAGGACCATATAAAATATGTTTGATTAAGGTATGTGGGTTATGGGACTGCATAGAATGAGTCCTGTGCAGGTTGTGAGTATAAAGAACTACATTTGTATGGATTCAAAGCCTATAGAATTTTGCCATGTTTCTGTTATGCGGCGAGTCTTTTGTATGTGTTCCTGCCCGCACAGCAAAGAGCGAGCTCCCAGGCACGGGAATCCCTCCACAAAGAGGAGCTGCCCTTGCTCTGTGTGCCCGGGGCTGTCGCACCGAAGGGAGGTCATTCCTGCTGGGCTTCCTGCGGGCAGCTGGAGTGCCGGGCGCTCCCGTGCAGCAGGAGAGCGGGCACCTGCATCCAGGGCCTGGAAAGATGGTGCGGGTAGAAAGAGCAGCTTTGTGGTGCTCTCCATTATGCAGTGTTTCAGTTGAGACCTGTTTGTCTTCTGCTTTGTTTTGTATTGGTTTGTTTGTCTGAATGTGYCCCACATGACAAGTGCCACAGCTGTACTTGATATTCTCCTCAGAGACCATCAATAATATCCAATGTTTTGGGTTATTATGTTTTAGGAAGTTATCCATGCAATGTTCTATAGTGTGCGGGTTGCTGCACAAGTCACACGGGTGAGCATTTCTTTATGTCTTTGGTAGACTTACAGGACACCAAGAGCTAGCAGTGTCATGTGCCATGAACAGAAATAGTTTGTGTGGGAGCTTTGCTGATCTGTTCTCCTCCCTGCTCCTCCTGCTGTTAAATACCCCAGCTGCAAAATACCCACAGCTATAGTTCCCCAATAGGGAGGAATGGCCCATTACAAGAGTAGTGCCTGGCACTATTTGCTGCTCTTCTCTTACAGTGGTTGCCCCTTAAATGTTTCTTATTTCCCACCCTTTCATATAAACAACTGCTGGATAGCATGAGAGTTTGCTCTTTCTGGCTTCAACCTGTTGCTCTCTGCTTTCTGTTCAGAATATCTGTTTGTCTGGGCTGGCACACACTGCAGTTGCAAATTCCAAATACCTTCCTACCTATTTGAATAATATCTCAGCTTTTATGTAGAAAACATAAATGCATTTAATATCATGAGGAACTGAAGTCTTGAACTGAGCATGTCCAGGGAGCTGTCTGAATTCAGAGAGCTACTGTGATAAGTGCAGGGTAAGCTCTTCATCTTATTTAAAAAAAAAAGTCTAGTCAAGTGATTTAAAGTTATGGTTCTGCTAAATCCTTGGCTGATCAGTGATTTTTTTTTTAATTAATCAATTTAAAATGAGTAATACTTGAAGTTCATTTTATTGCTTTTGCTGATCCTCTCTACATCTTTACTATACAGTGGGCCCACATCTCTACTTAGATGGATAGATACATATTCTTTTTTGGTATGTCTGCTGTCAGTTTTCTTTCTTGCAGTTGTACTTGATTGTTCTTTGGGACGTTCTGCTCTCTGTAGTAACCCTCTGCTAAATCTGCTAAACYAGCATTTCCTTCTATATTAATAACACCACTGAACTTCATAAAGAGTTTTGCTCCTGTGTCTGGCCTTAGGAATGTGTCATTAAAGAACCTGCAGTTTGACATACTCAGCAACTGTACTGAGAATGGTTTCACACAGGAAATAATGATTCCAGGAGAATGCCATTAGGGTGAAATCCTTGCCTTGAGATCTTTGAAAGGAGGAGCTGCCGAGTGTCTGCTAGGGGTTGTGTGTGTGCACTGACCTGCCTGCGAGGCAGACTCGGGCACGCTGCCTGCCCGAAAGGTGCTGCACGGAGCCCTCTAACGTGTTCCTCATGCAGACAAAACCAGGGAGATGTCTCGGAGACATCCCGTGTTGACGACCTGCCTCCAGGGCACATCTGCTGTCTTTTGAAGCAGCTCCGTGCAGAGCCACGCTCTGAGCACACTGAGCTGCTGCCTGCCGGGGAGGTGCTGGTGCTGATGAGCCTCCTGCTAGTCAATCTTGGGCAGTTATTTAACCGAAACACCCCAGTGCTGAAAGGGACACACACAACTTGAATTTGTAAATTATATTGTTAGCTATGGCTGATTACTGCAACTGGTATTGATTTTTAACCGAATATTTATAGGAASTATAACAAGTATTCATCTTGCATGTGTAAAAATAAAGAAACTTGTCAAATTGTGTCAGTACRGCACAGAACTGAGGCGTGCTCTGTGACTGCTGTGTCACTACCCAAAATGTGAAGCTCATTAAAGGGTAAGGGAAGAGGGAAGCGACAGCGTTTGCTTTAGCCTTTTTTTTTTTCTTCTTTTTTACTCCAAATTACTGTCCTGTGAAGGACTAAAAGGAAAGTGGCTACCATATGTTTTGGTATAGGGTCTTAAAAATCACATACCATATTGTATAAGTAACTAAAAGCTGGTATCTTAACTGTTTTTAAGTGCCACATGCTTGTTTGTAATCAAAGAAATGCTTTTATTTACCTGAATAAGGAAAAAGATATATTCTTTTTGATTAAACAATGAAATACAATTCCTTGTCGAAACTCAAATTACAGGTCCGACATTAGCCTTGAGGGAAAATGGCATTCATATCCGCAAGGCCATAGAGCTGCAGCAGTAAAGCCACCTGATAAAGGATGGGTCAGATGTTGATCATTTGTGTCTGGGGTGATAATATTGTCTAAATATCTTTGTATTTCTGCAGTAATCCTGCAATAATTTGGTTGCAGTCAGTTTATAGTCACTCTGAGGTACCTAAAACCAAGCTCCACAATAAGGCTCTTATTTTCCCTCTGCTTGTGTTTCGTAGCAGAAGCAAAAGTCTTCCTGTAGATATGTTAATCTTTGATACAGTGGGACAAATCTCATCTGGAAAGCATCATTATATTAGCTTAGGAAGTGCAGCAGTTAATGTTAGCTTTGCTTTCTCCTCACAAATTTGTGTTGGTGCTAGGGAGATCTGTATTCTTCCTATAGCCTGAACCAGTTTGGTGATGGGCTAATACTACAAAAATACGGTTTTCTATTTTAGTGGTGCTAAATCTTCAGCCAAAGCACAATGCATGAAGAACACACAGGGGTGGMACATGGCATGTGCAGAAATGTGACCGTCCTCAGACCAGGACATAAATGCCCTGTATTGTGTGACAGCCATATGTCCCATGTGAGCGGGTCCCATGTGTAAATCCATATCCTTTTGTACTTGCATCATGTACCTAGATGCCAAGG